GGCCCCGTGCTCCCCGCCGCCCCCTCACGGTCTGTGCTCGGGGCCCTCGGGGCCCTCAGCTCTGTGTGCAGGGGAACGTCTCCTGGGGCCAATGAGCCGTGTCGGGACGTGTGTCGGTGGGGACTGCGCTCTAATCACTTTTCTAAGGTTTATTTGCTTTATCTTAAATAAGCCTTATCATTTGTGTAATTAGGAAAAGGCCAAATTAATTAGAGTAGCTAACTCTCTAAGGTCAAAGGGCCTGAAACACCAGAACCGGGCACCTGTGCGCACGTCTGCTGTCCCGGTCCGGCCACGTCGCTGCCCCTTGGGCTGGGCGGGGTCTCGGCCGTCTCAACGTGCACTCCGCCAAGTGGGCAGCAGGTGGCGCCACCTCCTCGGGGAGAAGCAGCCAAGGGGCTCGATCCCTGGGGCGGCGGGGGCGGGCGGGCTGCCCGCTCTCCCAAGGAGCGTCCTTGACCCTGAGCTGTCCCCGGGGGAAGGCACCACGGTGAAGGCCTCACGGGGGTCTCACCTCCCCAGGTGTCGCAGCGGGCCCCGGAAGCTTGGTGCGCTCATCTAAGGCTGGCTTTGGGGGAAATTTCCTAAAAGCAGAAACGTTTCTACCCTTTTCCAGGGGACATCTGAGGACATGGCGCCCTTCCTGGTGGCCGTATACTCTAGACACAGTAGGTCGCGTGGTCTGCACCGCCTCCCTGGTGTGATGGCACTGGTTTTTACAAGCTGCCACGGAGGGGGCACCTCAGCTGTTTCTCCCCAGGCCGCCTCTCCCTGCACCGCCATCCTGTTGGGAGAGAACTTAGAAAATAAGCCATGAAGTGTGGCCTCCACGTGGCCCCAGCGATTCTCCCCTTCTGGGAGGCTCACACCTCCTTTACCCGGGACAGCCAGCCCACGACGCTGTGAGAGCCGGGTGGGGCACCTTGGTGGCCGGGCGCACACCTGCATCGGGAACAGCGCCAGCTTTCTGCCTCTGCTTGGGGCTCAGGGTCGTCCTCCTTTGGCGTTTTCTCTTCAGGGTGTCAGTTTGACCCCAAGCTTCCTGGTGCTGGAGACCGTACACTGGTCAACCCGTGGTGACAGGTGTGTGGACTTTATGGCCGCAAACGCCGCTGGTCCCTCTCTTCCTGCCCATCCCTGAAGCCCGTAAATCAGTATGATTGTTATGGCCCCTGACTTCTCTCTGTCCTGCGGTAAGTCAGTGTCCCATTGGGCAGGGGCAGGTGGCTTGCCTGCAGGAGAGCCGGAACAAGGGCCTCTCTCCTTAAAAAGCCCAAAACTGAGATGTGGATGCCCAGAAGGTTCCGGAAGCAAAGAGGAGCAGTTGGCCTTTCTTGCCTCGACCTTCAACTTCTGTTCAAGTTTCTCCTGCTAGACTAAGGGAGCCCACAGAATTGAAGGACAGTTTCACGGGGCCACGTCCCAGAAGGGAGATGAATATGAGGACCTGAGCTGAGGCTGCTAAGACATTTTCCCACCCTTATGAACGTGAGGGCAGGGAGGGGTCTGAGAGGTGCTGGGCCTGGAGACCCCAGGGCCCTGGGGCACCCCTGCCCACTGCCGTCTCCCTGGTGGAGGCTGACAGCCGACAGAAGCTGGATCTTGGGCCAAACGTCAGCTTTCCTCATTTTTCCCTAGGATGGAAGAAAATGGGTGCATGGGAGCCATGTAGTATAATGGCCAAGGACACAGGCTTTGGGGTCAGAAAGCCCACCTCTTACCAGCAGTGTCTGGAGCAAGCCCCCTACCCTGTCTCAGCTCAGTTTGTGCAACTGGGAGGTGGGAGCAGCCCAGGATGGCCCCAAGACAATGCCTGAAAAGCGGAGCTGAGATGTGTGTGGAAGGAGGCCGCTGTGAGGCCTGCACACGGCACAGCTCGGAGTGCGAGCAGCGCACTGCTTGCTGGGCTCCCATTCTCGCTCATGGCTGCTTAAACTCCAGGCTGCTCCGGAAGCTGGCGGGAGAGGGCAGCAGAGGCTGTGCCGAGCGGCCTTCCCCGGGGTTTCTCAGGAACCCAGCGAGCACCGGAGGAGACTGACCCTTAGCCAGATGAGTTCCTGGCCGCACTGAGAACCACCTCACAAATGCAGTTGCTGGGCTTTGGGGACTGCTGGCCTGGCAGTAAGGAGCGCCTAGGGGTGGGCTCATGTCGGAGCCCCATACCCACCCCCATTGCCAAAATTCCCTCTTGAGCCATGAAGAATGGCCCAAGGGGAGGGGAAGTTCAGGTGTGGCCTAGGGAAAGATGGGCCTTTCGGTGGCTCCCAAAGTGGGTGCCAGTCAGAAATCCCTGAGCAGGGGACCCTGTAAAATAGGGATTCTTGCACCCTGTATGACACAGGGCGCGCCTACTCCCAGGTGCACACCAGGAGACCTCTAGGGCGGGAGGGTGGTAAATGGCTGCTCCTTCTGAGCAGCAGGAAGCCCGGCCAGCCCTTGCTCCTGACAGGCGTCCCCTCGCTGGCCACCAACCCCCAGCCCCTAGGTCCCCAGGGCAGTATTATGAGGAAATCAAGGCTCAGAAGTGACAGGGCTTGCCCAGGTCAGATGGGGGCAGCAAGGACTCCAGCTTTGTCTTTCCACTACCTCCTGAGGGCTGCTTGCCAGCAGGCGGCTGCAAGGCGGGAGCCAGGCCACCACCCTGTTGCTGCCCCAACCCTCCAGCCCCAAAGGGAAAAGAAAACAGTGGGCCAGAGTGGACCTTGTGGGCCAGGTGCCTTCCCATCTGAAGTGCACACCCTGAGCGCCTTCCAGTTCTGGGGGCTGGGGGCTGGGAAATGGGCCTCGTCAGGAGCGGGCTCCGGGTGGCAAGGGTGGGCTGGCCTGCAGTTCTGCCTGCCCGCGGTGGCTGGGGTGCCCCGCGGCCGCACTGAGGCCCATCTGCGATTGGCGAGCAGCTGAGGTCTGTGGCGCCCAGGCTGTTGGCCCGCGGGAGAAAGTCCTCGTGGTGTATAATCCACGGGCAGACACTTGGGGCACACATCCTTGCCATTTCCCTCCCTCCTGGGGAGTCATACACTTAGGGCATCTTGACTTACATTGTTCCAGGATAAACTTCTGGAGGTATGCGAAGAGATTTTGAATCAATTCTACCTAGTATGCGCCTATGCTAGACCAACACCCATGTGCACAAGCAGGCAGGGTGCGTGAGTTTGCACCAGACCGAGAAGCGCCTGTACATTTTAAGTTCGTAAATTGCATCTGCCGGGCAAACCTTGTGGCAGCGCAAGGCAGTAGGAGCTTCGCCCAGGTGACCCATGGTTAGAGCGAGCCCTTTAGAGGACAAGACCCGAGGGAGCACGATTCCCGTGCAGCGGTGGCGTGAGCTTTCAGATGCGGGTGCGGACGCAAGTTTGCAAGCAGATTCTGGCCCTTTCGTTCTTGCCTGGGGCCAAGCTCTCCTTATGGAAGGCTGGACTTTTCTCTCCTTCTCAGTCCCCAAGGCGAGACCAAGACAGAGGCGGGCCCACTCCCAGGCTCCCCGGCTTGGTTTTCAGACACAGGCCCCTCTGGGTGCCCCCCACCCAGCCTGGCTGGGAGACGGGTGTGCTAAGAGGTCCCACAGAAATGCAGGCGCCGCTTGTGGGATGAACAGGAAGCCCGGATTTGCCGCTGCCCTGGCCTCTGGTCCAGCGACCCCAAAGCCACGCACAACCAGGGTGCACGGAGCCTCTGCTGGTCGGAGCAGCCTAGCGAGTGGGCACACGGCTGGAGTCGCTGTGGGAGACAGAAGCGTGCCTCCGTCCTGCCTGGGGCACAACCTCCCACAGCCGGAGGCGGCCTGCTCTTGCCTGCCCGCGGAGGCTGTCTGGGTGCGGGGGCAGGTTTCCCCTGCTGGAGGCTCTTCTCTGGCCTTGTTTTCCAGGCACTGGTGGGAGGCCGGCGATGCGCAGAGGGAGCCTCCAGCTCAGCCCGGGAGCACAGTGCGTTCTCTGCCCTCTGCAGTTCTGCTCCCGGAGCTCAGGGTCAGGCGCGTATGGGCAGCAGTGCGCTGCACCCGGGAGACCCTGGCCCGACGCTTCAGCCCACCCGAGACCCCAGGGACGGAGTCGCCGGCCTTTTCCTGTCCCCTTCATCTCGGTATTATAGACAGCTGTTAGTTTCGGACATTAATTGCCTGGGCGAGTTTATCGATAATCTTGATGTAACAGAGCACCGGGGAAATTACCCTCACATCCAAAACGTCAAATTTGAGAAGAACCAGGTTCAGAGGCTCACGACCCCACGGCGCAAGGAGGCTGCGGTGGGTCCACAGCGGCCGTGCCGACAACGGGGCTTTATTGCGCCTGTTTCCCTAGGCAGCCGGGAGTCGGAGCAGAGAGGGAGGTTGGTCAGAGGCGCGGGCTTTAAGGTGGTCGCTCCCCGAATGGTTTAAGGCGAATGTCACCGGCTCGGGGACATGCCGGCTCGCACTCCCACCAACGGCCATTCTTTTGCGCAGATTTTACTTCTCAGCTGAGGAAAACCAAGCGTAAGGCACCAAAGAAAAAACTACAGAAAGAACCCTCAGGGTTGTTTCATGATTTATAATTACTGGAATATGGAAACAGCGGAGTCTGAAGCTCAGAAACTCTTCCTGGTGGCAAAAAAAGTAAAAAACACAATTTATGTATGTGTATTTTTTAGCACATACATGGTCTTCCCTAGGGGAAGGGGACACAGTTTTTCTTACAACATTTGATTATTTCTTCAAAATGAGAAATGGCATTTAGAGGGGCAAAGGGCTCTTCTTAAAAAGCAGAAACCAAGAAAAATTGTTATTCCTGTCCAGATTTCACTTCTAATGTGAAATGAGTGAAAAGAGGAGGATTAGCTGAAAAGTAAAAAAAGAGGGAAAAAAGTATTCAGAATCATACATATTTAAAAATTTTTTTAAATGTCTAGAGCTCCCAAGCCAGTTTCTGTGTATATTTTGGGGTTTGGAAGATATTCCACAATCCCAATCCCGAACAGATACTCATGCGATTTTATTTCTAGTTGATACAATGCTAAAGGCCATGTACAAATGTTACACATTTTTATTTTTGTTCTTTTTTTTAAGGAAAAATACACAAAAGGCAAAACATCCTCAAATTGTCGTTTTATACAGTGCAGGAGATTTAAAATACGTGTCACCACTGCTGCGCCCCAGCAGCCAAAATACTAAAAAAGGGGGGATAGTCCTTCATTTTATATATATATTTATATAAAACATATGGAAATTTGTTTTTACACAGATCGGACTTTGTTTCAAATTTACAATGGATATCTAAAAAGAAAATTCTACGCGGCAAATATTGCCAACAAAGTTACACCATTAATACTGATAAACAGAGGCGCCTATGCGGTGTTTGGATTATTAGGGAAACAAAGTAGAATAAATAACAGGATGAGCCTTGCTATAGTTTCAAAAAGTGCCTTAACCTCTCTGCGTCGTCGCTGCAATCCTGACCGGCACTCCCCGCGTCTCCCCGGGCCTCCCCCGTCCCGTGGCGCGCTGCGGGCGCCCCGCTCTCACACCAGCAAGTTCACAGTAGACATCGGGAGACAGTCGGGTCTCGAGAGAAAAGACACCCACCAAAAAAGCCAAACTGGAAGCAGAAACAAACCCAAAAAGCCTGAAGGGAGGAGGACGAGGCAGGCGGCAGCGGACGCAGAGAGGCCCGGAGAGAGCGGCCGCTCCTGGGCCCATCTGGTTTCTTTTTTAAGATGAACAGTGGCTTCAGAAATGCAAGTTGTTCGCACAAAGAATCACCTGTGGGTGAGCGGAGGCCCTCGGAGGTGGAAGGGAGGGTGCGACTGCCTGCCCCCCTCCTTCCTTGCGAAAGATGGCTCTGAAGGAGACTCACTGCCAAGATATTCTTTCCAAAAAAATTAAAAATAAAAAGATAAATACTCAACCAAAAAATAAAAGTATTTGATCATGATGGTCTCACATGTTCGCCTTTCTCCTGAAAACCTTCCCTGACTCTTCCCACTGGAGGGGAGGACAGGGAGAGACTGCAGCAGAATTCTTGTTTCCATGTTGAGGATTTTCCCCCAACACAGCACCTTCTCGCTGGTTTCGATTGAATCAAAAATCGGTAATTATTTACCAACAATTGCAGTCCGATCAGGCCCCACCGCCACCATTTTTAGACTTTTTGAGGGAGTGGGGAAGGAGGAGCCGACCGCGGCGCCAGGCCTTCTTTGCCTTGGGGATTCCTTTCCAAATAATCCGGTTGGGGAGGCATCAAACCCTTTTCCTCTGTGGACCATTATACCTCGAGAACAGAGCAGTTTATTGCGATGGGTTCTGAGGTCCCTGGGCAGGGCCGACTCGTGCCTGGAGGGCCCTGTGGCTGCAGCCTCACATCACGCAGGGCTTGATGTCTTGGTAGGTGACCTGCTGGTGGTAGTAGGAGCCGCTGCTGGCTGAGTGCATGGACGAGGATGCCATGGTGTTGAAAGAGAAGACGAACTCCTTTCGGTCACACATGCTGGGTGACTGGGATGCATACCGAGGGATGCCTGCAAGGGGAGGTGACAGGAGGGACAAGGGGGGTAAAGAGTTAGCTTCCGGGGTCTAGGGTCCAGGCAGAGCAGCAGCGCTGTGGGTGGGGAGCACAGGACAGGCCTGCCTGGCTCGGGCGCATGGCACAGCCTCCCTACACTCCCCCGTAGTGCCCAGTCTCCCTGAGTTGCCATCAGCCAAGCAGCTGGGAGGTTGGGCCCTGGGCTGTGCGCCCCTGTGGAAGATCCTGGGACACCAGTGACGATCGAACCCTCTCTCTCTGCAGCTTGGGCCTCTTCTGCCTTGGACACGGAGCTCTGGTCTGGAGCTTCTTGAGGCGGAAGGGGGGAAGGGGTGAGGCGGGTCGCAATGGGCCGGCAGATGCCAAGGAGAGCCTTGGCAGCCTCCGCCTCCAGGGCAGCTCACTGCCTGTGCCTGGCGTTTGGGCACCCACCTCCTAATCCCAACGGCTGTGGAGACCCCTCACAGTGCGAGGCCAGTGCAGGAGCACGGAAGTGGCAGGGCCGTCACCAGGGCGGTTTCTCCCCAGCAAGGGCCCCTGGTGGAACAGGGTTTCCTGCACTCCCCGGGGACAGCTGCGGCAAGCAGGGAGACCCCGGGGGGTAGGGAGAGGTGGCCCTCCGGCCTCCCAGCCGGTCTCCTGCCTCCACAGGCTGCTGACAGCTGGGCCCTGAGCATTGCTCAGTTTGCCCAGGGTCTCTCCAGAACTAGGCCTGGGAGCTGCCCGTGAGCGCTGCCCAGGGCTCTTCAGGAGGGAAGATTGTTCTGCACCCTTTTTCTCAGAGACGGGGGTGTTTTCTGGGGTCCTGGAAACCTTCATCTTGAGAAACAAAGAATCTGTGGGACCTGCGGCTGCGACCCTCGTCTGGGCCTGGCTACAGCCCCACTCTGCCTGTCACCACAAAATGCCCGGGACTCAGTGTTTGCAGGGCCGCCGGTCTAGTTCCCTGCGAGCCGGGCCCAGCGGCTCTAGGCCTGACTCTTCCGTTCTGCCCAGGCAGCTTTCCGAGTGGCCCCCCAGGGAGGCTGAGCCAGCTGTCCAGAGCTGGGCCCCTGCTCCGTCCTGGGAACCTGCTGAGGTGTGAGGGGACTTAGGGACCCAAAGGGCATTAGATTATCGGAGTCTGAGCCTTTTTTTGTGAAGACAGGGCCTACCTGGCCAGGCTTGGAGTGGCCAGCTGCTGGGAGTTGGAACAGAAAAAGAGACAGGATGAATATCAGTCCAAATTGGGGACCTCCAAGCCGGACACACTCCTCAAAGGGGGGTGGGGGAGGCTGAGACACCCTGGGGAGCTGACGCCTCCCCACAGCTCTGGGGTTGGCACCCCAGGGAAGTGGCCGCCGGCTCGGCCCAGGGCGGTCAGCGGCTCAGGCCGGGCCCAGCCGTGCACTCACAGATGTCCGCCTGCCGACAAGGGCAGCCCTGGCCTCCCCACTCACCTTGCAGCTCAGCTGGCGTGTTGTGGCTGTTCTGGTGCAGATATGGCTGGTCCAGGGAGTGCGTGGAGAGGCTTCCCGACAGGGGGTTGGCCACGGGGTTGGAAGGGGACAAGGGCTGCTGCTTGATGTAGGAGGCGCCGCTGTTGAGCGCCGCCGAGGCTGAGGGCGGCCAGGCAGCCGCAGAGCCGGAGTAGACTGCGTGCGGCTCCATGACCCCACCGGCAGCCCCCGGCAGCAACGGGGAGGCCGGCACCGAGCCGTCGTGGTGCGGGTATTCGCCGGCCGCCGCACCGCCACAGCTGCCCATGTACGCGTGGCCGCCGTTGGAGGGCAGGTGGGGCACCGAGTGGCTGGGCAAAGCCATGCCGTCCACATTGCCCGGTAAGTGGCCGTTCATCATGCCCAGGCCACCCTCGAGCGCCAGGCTGTTGGGCGGGCACGAGAGGCCGCCGGCGGAGCTCTGGAAGCCGTAGGTGTCCGGGAGATGGTTGAATCCCAGCCCGTTCATCATGCTGTACATGGGCTTGAGCGCCTGGCATTTCCTTCGAAAGCCGCGAGGCCGCCGCCGAAAGGAGCCCTCCTCGAACATGAACTCGCTGGCCGGGTCGATGGTCCAGTAGTGGCCCTTGCCGGGCCGCCCGAGGCCCTTGGGCAGCTTGATGAAGCACTCGTTGAGCGAGAGGTTGTGGCGCACCGAGTTCTTCCAGCCCTGGTAGGAGCCTCGGAAGAAGGGGAAGCGGCTCTGCAGGAACTGGTAGATCTCGCTGAGCGTCAGGCGCTTGGTGGGCGAGCTCTGGATGGCCATGACGATGAGCGCGATGTACGAGTAGGGCGGCTTCTCGGGGCGCCGGATGCCGGCGTTCGTCTTCTTGGCCTTGGACGGGCCGGACGACGCGGGGTCCATGGCCGCGCCGCCTCCCCCGCCGCCGCCGCCGCCGCCGCCGTGCGGTGGCTGCTGCTTGTCGGGCGCCGAAGACATCGGGTGCCTGCTGCCGCCGCCCTCGCTGCCGCCGCTGCTCTGCGCCGCCGCCGAGCCGGCAGGAGGAGGAGGAGGAGGGGGAGGGGGCGCGGGGGAGGGGGCGGCGCGCGCGGGGCCGGCTGCGCCTCTGCCGTCACCGGCGGCCACCGCTCCGAGCGGGCCCGGCGCGCCCTCCCCCGCCCGGCGTCCTCCCAGGCGCTGCCGGCTCCGCGGGCGGGTGGCGGGGGCCCCCTCGCTCCCCGGCCCCCTCCCCCCGCCCCTCTCTCCTCCCTCTTTCCCTCGCGCCCTCCCACCGGGGAAGGAGCGGAGCGGAGGCCGAGGGCCGCCTCCCGGCAGCCCGGGCGCGGGCCGCGCAGAAGCCCCCCCCCACCGGCCGGCTCTGGGGGGAGGCGCCACCTCGGGGCCCGCGCGGAGCTGCTCTCGGTCCCGCCACCCGCGGCGCTCGGCTCCGCGTCTCCTCCCGGCCTCTGCTCTCGGCGGCGACCCGCGGGCCGGCGTAAGACCCTCCAGCAGTCCCTCCCCTCCCGGCCCCCCTCCGGGCCCCGCGTCGGGGGGCGCTTAAAGGGCCCCCGCCCTCGCCGCGCAGCGGCCGCCCGCAGAACCCGCCCCGCCTCCACCGACCTGGCGAGCAAGTGCTAATGCGCCCTCGGCCCGCGGCTCGGCCCCGCAAAGCGCGGGCCCCCGCCTTCCCGGGCGGCGCGGCGGGACACGCACCCCGGGTCCCGGGCCTTCCCCGACGCTTGCAGCCTGGTGGCAGATCGCAACCGCGGCGGCGGCCGCCAGGTCGTGGCCATCGCGGGGACAGCCGGCTGGGCTGCGGGTCCCTCGGCCGGCAGGCGTGTGTTGCAGCGAGGGACCGCCTACCCGCTCTCCCCGCCCCGGGAAGGACTGCGCCGCGCCCGGGACTTCTCGGGCTCGCCCAGCCGCGCGCAAGCAGGCGGGCAGCCGCTGAAGCCGAGCGCGAAGGGAAAACGAAAGCGCAGGGCGCGTCGCAGCCGCTTTGTCTCCGGCGGGAGCCGCGGGGCCGAGCGGGAGTGACCGCTGGCTCTGCGGGGACCACAGCCCTACAGGCTCCCCGAACAAGGGCCCCCGCTCATTCGCTCACTCACGCACTCGCGAGCCCATGCACACGCATGCAGTCACTGATGCAAATGCAAACCCGGTAAATTACACGGACCCAGACACGCAAGCTCACCCACTCGTGCGTTCCCACTCAGGGCACACGGCTCTCAGGCATGTGCGTGCCCACTAATGCGCTCATTCACGCACACAGAAGCTTAAATTCGCACCTACCTCCACTCATTTACACTAGCTGCGCCCCGATCTGAACCCACACTTAGCCTGGTTGACCCTTCCTTACCAGCCGCCCAGCCTTCCGCACACTGAAAACCCGCCTATTTGGCCCCTATGTCCTGGGGTCCCCACTTTCCAAAAACAGGTTGCAATATCTCGAAACTGGTAAAGGCCCTGGCAGGAAGTTTATACGGTTCAACGTAAACGCATTCTGGGGGATTCTTTAATAATAATAATGGAGAGTTCCGCGTGCGCAGGGGGGGGAGTTGGCCTGATGCCCCTGTGGGCTCGGCCTGCCGCCGCGGCGGGGGCCCCTGACACTGCACGCCAGGCCAGGTTCCGGAAAGCCGTCTGCGTGGGCAGGGAGCGCGGGCCCGGGCTGCCCTGGCGCGCCTGGCTGCCCCTAACTGGGGCCTCGCACGCACGGCCTCCCCCGCGGACCTCGTGGCCCTGCGGCGCGGGGCTGGCACGAGGTGGGGGGCCGTGGCGCGGGGTGCGGGACGGCGTGGGAGCCCGGCGCAGCGCGTCACGCAGGGACCCAGGTGAGTGCTGTTCGCGCCCAGACTGCGGGGCACCGGGTCGGCCTCGCGAGCCAGGGCCCTGGGGTGGGAGGAGGTGGGCGAGGGGTGTTTTCGCGGGTCGCCGCGAGGAGCCAGGACGCCGTGCCCTGGCGGGAGCTCGGGCGAAAACCCCGGGCCGGCTCAGAGTGAGCCCGCGCGCGGCGCCTTTCAAAGCCCGCCGGCCTCTAGGGTTTCTCTTGCCTCCTGTCCCCCGCGGGCCCCCCTCCTCGCCCAGACGCCTTCAGCCTCGGCGGCAGACGCCTCGTCGCCTTCGGGGCGCCTGGCACGTCCATGTGAGGAGCTGGGGACTCGCGGGCGCAGCGTGCCAAGTGATCGCCGCCTTCCCCGGCGGAGCGGCGCTCGCGGAACACCAGGGAGGGAGCCCCCTTCTCCGCGCCGCGCTTCCAACCGGCTCTCGCGGCCCCGGCTCGCGCGCAGGCTGCCCGGCCCGCCCGGGGAAGGGGTGAGGGTGGGACGTGAGGGCGTGTGTGTGGTGGTGTCCTCGCACAGATGGACGCGCACCGGCAGCCCACCCACTCCACGCCGCCAGACGGCACCCACAGAGCACGGGTACCCTGCGCAGTGTGCGTGGCCTTGAACACATCTTCCCGGCGAACACCCCTCGCCCGGCTCGGGAGCTCCCAGCCCTTGCGTGAGTTCACGGGGCTGCCCCGCGAGGACACTTTTGGTTAAAAGCACACACCTGCCCTGTGCGCGCGCCCACGCAAGCCCTGCCGCACACGCCGTTGCGCACTGTCGCTCCACCCGCGAGTGTGTCCACGCACACAAGCTTTCGCACGGTCCTCTATCACTTTTTGTTTTGTTTTTGTTCTGCCAAAGGGCAGCTGCAGGCTAGGAGGCCCTGGGCGGTGCGGGAGGGACGTTCCTGCGAGGGGGTCGCTGCCGCCAGCTGCTGGGAGCGCATCTGGCAGGGAGGCTGCCCCACTCCCAAGCCAGCCAGAGGTGTAGCGCGTACCCCCGGACCCCAGAAAGTGACAGGAACGCCTCTCCTTTGCTCCTCCCCACCGACGGGGTGTCTCCAAAGTGAGGGGGCTCTATCTAGCGTGAAGTGAGGGGGTCTTTTTCCCGTGGCCCTCTTCCCTCTTAGTCCCTCCCCAGTTGAAGGGCCCCCGCAGGCCCACCTTTGGCCAACCCCAGATCAGTTTCCCCCCCTCCTGCACATCATTGTCTCTCACCGGCTCCCCTTGGGACTCCTGTGTGTTTTGGGGTACAAGAGCTCCTGCTTTCTTGGGGAGAAAGTGTGGAGTTGGGGCCCCACCTGGCCTCCACTTTCTCCTCAGGCTCTGACATGCAGTTACCATGTTCAGAGAGGGGCCCACGGGTGCAGCCCTAGGAATGTGGCAGATGAAGGCTCTCCCCAACCCCTAATCTCCACCGAGGCAGGAGGAAAGGGGATGTGTGTGAGAGGGAGGGGTGGGGACATGAGCTCCCAGCTCTGTAACTTGGAGAGGACCCTCCCTCAATTATGGGGAAAGCCACAGCAGTAGTAACGGGGGCTTTTCAGCGTGCCCAGAGGTTTGGCTCTTAACATGCCCCTGAGAGGTCTCCCCTGGTCTTTTATTTTTGGGGTGGGGAAACTGAGGCCCAGTGAGGCCCTCTCCTGGGTGGGCCAGCGCTGCCAAGGGAACATCTCTCATTTTTCCCTCCACCCACAAGGGTTAGACTATCATGCATGTCACCCTCCCCTAGATGCCTTGTTACAGGTGAAGAGTATAGAGCAGGGGAATTAGAAATGCTTCCATTGCCGTGCACACCACTGGCTTCCCAGGCCCGAGGGCTCAGAGAGCTGGCAGTGATGCAGTCACCACACACTCAGTGATGGCACTAGGACTTGACGGTCACCAGACACTTACTGGGAACTGATAGTTGCCGTATGAGCAGCCCCTGCGACGTCCTTAACCTGTCTCTGAGCCGTGAATCCCTTTGATAAACTGTTGACAACTACATCCCGCCTCCCTCCAACAATTGCAACGTTTGTAGAATGATTTTCAAGGTTTCACCAAACACCTGGAGCCCATCCATATACCCATGATCTCCCCATCCATGGGAGATCCTAGAACCCTAGTTAAACACCCCCGAGATACTTGCTTAATCTTCACAGAAGCCCCTACCAGGTCAGTATTATCCCTCCCTTTATAGCTGGGGCTCAGCAAGGTCACCCCTTGTCCTAGGTTGCCCTGCAGAGCCAGAGCCAACCTCAAGTCTGACAGCGGGACCAGGGACAGAGTCCTGGGCCCCAGGGCGAGTGAGGGTCTCTGCAGGGGGCAGGGCAGAGACCTTCTGCCTCCAGACTGGGGGAGTCAGTCTGGATTGAATCTGGCCTTCACCATGTGGGGATGTTGTGCAAGCTGTTTGTGCTTTAGTTCTTTTGTTGGGATGTGAGGGGTTGTTGGTTTGTTTATTTTTAACAGCTTTATTGAGATATGATTGATAGGTAACAACACTGTGTAAGTTTAAGGTGTACAAGCTGTTGATTTGATACATTTATGTGCTGCAAAATGATCTTCACAGCATCAGCTGCGCCCTCCATCTTGTCCCATAATTTCCATTTCTTTTTTGTGGTGAGAGCATTTGAGATCTATTCTCTTACCAACACTCAAGGATATAATATAGACCACCAGCTATCATCGCCACGGTAAGGCACCTTAGATTCTTTGTTTAAACAGCAGGACAAATAATGATACCTATTTCTGTTGGAAGCACTGGACAAGACGGTGCAGAGAAACACTTCAGCTGTCCATACGGATGGAAGCACACAACCCCGGGGCTCAGCTCTAGGGCGGCTAAGAGAAAATGCAGGCAGTGATGTGGGCAATTTTTTGCTCTCAGCTTAACGATCCATGAACAGCCCCCTCTCAACCCAGATCAAATCTGTGCCCCAGCACCGGCTCTGGGAATCCCCAAATGGGGAAGGGGTGTAAAAACACACGCCTGCCATGTCTCCCACTCCCCATGCCCAAGGTATTTTCACTGGCTAATTACTTAAGTGAAGCCGCCGGGCCTGAGAGCGCGCCGTAACCCGAGCAGGGAACCAGATCCTGCTCAGATTGTGCCCGGCCGGCGGCTGCGAGGGTGGGGGGCCTGGGCGGCCGCCGACCACCCACTGCGAGGGCAGCCGCTCTGTCCGCACCACCCCTGCTCTGCATTAGCAGCAGGCCCGTGCCTCCCCGTCCTGCTCCCCTGAACC